ATTATGATTATTCACAGCACTATTGTCAGTGTTGAAAAAGAAGAGACTTACAATTAAAAAGTCTTATGAAGTAAGAGAAATCATAGACACTTATGAATCAGATGATCTCACTTATTCTGACCTTTTCACAATTATAAGAAAAGAATGAGAGAAAATGAAGAAATCAGATAAACATCATACTTCAATAAGTGATAAGACTGTAGCCAGTTGTATAATAATATATCACAGATAGCAGACATAACACAGTAAAGAGCAGTCTCAAAGTGACAGACTTGTATGTGAGTCAGATTGCAGAAGAAAAAGAAATTCAGAGTTGAATTTAACTGTTTATATCAGTTCAATTATGAAGATCACAGAGAATGAACTATCTGAAATATCTGTGAATACATGAGACCAAGTCATCTTAATCTCTGAGAATGCTCAGAGGTTGAGTGAGATTAGTTTCAATGAGCTGTTCACTGTAGTAATCTGAGTGAGTGAAGAGAGACAGTATAATGTGTGAGACAGAATTACAAAGATGAAAGCTGCTGAACCTAGTCACTGAACACTGTATTATATAGAGGTTATATAAGAGTAGTAACTAGCAGATAAAGAAAAAGCATAAAAAAAAGAAAAGAGATAATGAATTGATCATCAACTGTAAGAATCAGCTGTAAAAAGACAAATGTTATCATACACACTTCATTCATTTTCATATGTCATACATTTAATCTATTTCCAACATCACACCATCTGAAAAACATTAAAAATAAAGAAAATCTCAAAACTTGAGATCTGTAAGAAATTCAAGAGCTGTAAGCTACTCTCACAACAACACTGCACATGTCTCTGATTTCTCTATCACTCTGTGTATGACATTAATGTCATTTATTGCAAGATTGACTGGAATGTCAATATAGAAATGTGTATGTGTACACATAGAGAAATTGAAGAAGAGTATGAGACCTGCAGGACTAGAAGTCAGAGCAGAGAGAGTGAAGACAGAAGAAATAAAAGAGAGAGATACAGAACTGAATGAATGATGAAAGTCATCTGAGACTGAATGCTTATAATTCAGTGTGTGCACAACCTTCTCTGCAGAAGAGAGAGAGAAAGTGATGAGAGAAGCTTAAGAGCAGAAGAGAATAGTCTCAGTGATATTGTCATCTTTGATTAAAATGATCTCTGACACTGGAGCAACTAAGAACTATTGTTAGTATACAAAACCACAAAAACAGGGATAATAATTATCAAATGAACACCTGCTGGTCTTAGAATTGTACACATAATTACAACATGCACAAGGCTTCTCAGAAAGAGAGAGAGGGACATGAGAGAATGCAGAAAGCAGAACACAGTATATAAACAGCTCATTCTCACAATAACATCTCAGACAAGACATATGAGTCTCACACTTACAGGTGTAAAAGAGTACAACATCTGTGTTTCTGTTTCTGAAAACACAGATATCTTTCACCTGCATCATGAAGTCAGATGATAGATGCTAGAGAATAGACTGATACAGATCTATCATTCTGAAGGAATTTGTCAGAGCAGATGTCTCTGCAATGTTGAACTTTACAGTTGTAAAAAGCTTCTTAATGTCTGTGAATGTCACAACTTCATACACAGTGAAACTCATAATAATTTCTTCTAAGAACAGGAAAATCAGTGTCAGAAAGAAAAGATGAAAAAAGAAAAAGACTTATAATCTCAACACTGTTAAGAAGAAGAGTGATTCTCTGAAATAAATGAATAATTATCTCATTATGAATATTTAAAATGAATGTAATAATTGATGTCTGTGACTGAACTTTAAATGATCATGTTATACACTGTCTTTGTACAATAAATTATTCTAGAGATTAGTAAGAAGAGCAGAAGTATACACACTGAGAGATGTGATTCATTAAGTCTATGTAATATCTCCTTGAAACAGAGAGAGCTGATAACAAAAGCAGAGACAGTAAAACCAGAAGTGGCAGAAGTGAGAATTGTGGAAACAGAAGTAGCAGAAGCAGGAGAATCAGACACAGAGACAGGTGTAGAAGATTGAGAGAAAGCAGCAGAGAAAGAAATAGAAGAGACAGAAGAGAATACAGAAGACTCAGTCATACATAACACAGATAATTTCTTCATTATTATGTTCTTCAGGTTCTCAATCAATGATTCAATATTGAGTTCACTATCATCAGTAAATGCAGATCTGTCAATGTGTGAAGATTCTATGTGAATAAAAACAAACATATCAGCATCTGTGTCCATGCAAAATCATGTCAGAAAACATGATCAGAAACCTGCAGAGAAGAGAAATAATCAAGAGTGTATGAGAAGATAAAGAGAGTGTATGAGAAGATGAAGAAGATGTGTCATTTATAATAGTATGTTCTGACAATTGTTAGAAGATAAACAAGTTCTGATTATATACATTTCATAATGTGTTACACTTACTGCTAATGAACTGCCTGATATGAGCACTACAATGACACTTGTTATGAGAATAAGAAGCCATTGTCAGAAATGTGTATAATGTGATAGAAGAACAGATGAAAAGAGTTGAACAGAAGAAGAGGTAGAAATCTTGAATGAGATAATAGTGTTTAATGATGAAGATGATGATTGAAGAATGAGAAAAGTTAGTAAATGAGTGATATAATATAGTGAAAGTTTCTTTGTGAGAGTGTACATGAAACACTAGTCAAATTAGAAATAGGTCACATAATCATAAGATGCTAGTGATGAGCTAATCTGCATGAAGCTAGAGTGTACAATATGATCATGTGAGTGTGACTGAATCTGATGAGAAAGAATGTGATTTGAAAGAACATACAATCATCAGATAATAACACAGTCACTTTCAAACTACTAGTGTATATATACAAGTGCAAAGAGGCTATAGCATACACTAATTAATTTAGTGTATAAGATTACAATATAAGAAGCCAGCGTACGCCTGTAATCGTACACTGGCTTAAGCAACCTTTGAATTACATACAGATAATCTGACTCTGAGCTGTGAGAAGTTCTTCTGTGAATATCTGATCATTATTAACTGTTCAGTTCTGTTATTATCTATATTAAGATTAAAAGTGAGTACTTCTGTTATACTTCTGTGTAATCTCTGACTGTCTGAAGAGCTCTGTAATGACATAAGAATAATTATTTAACAGATGATAATCTGTTTACTTGAGATGAAGATTATATCTGATATGTATAAGAGTTTAGTTTATATACTGTCACAGATCAATCTACAAGCTCAATCTGTTGAGATTTCATTTAACATGACTTACTGTCAGTTTCCAGTTCATTTATACTTTGTAATAATAATTAACAAGTCTCAGAGACAGTCTCTTTCTACAGTTAATATTGATCTCAGAAATCTCATATTCTTATATAATCAGCTATATATTACACTCTCTTAAACTACAGATATCAATCAGTTAACTGTCTTATTAGATGAGAATAATGAGAGATATATATTAAATAAGATATATCTGAAGATTCTACAGTTTCTTAACTAATTCTTCTACTACTGCTGTTTTTTCTTCATTATCTATACAATATTATTATTAAATGTTAAAATAGAGATCTTTGAACATGTAAAAAACTGTCATTTCAATTTAACACTAACTATTAAAGAAAAGAAAAAAGTAATAATATCTTACTAAGCTTATTCTCACATCTCACACAGCTTATATAGTCTGCTTATACTATCTTCTATTTTTTGAATTTTTTAATCAGAGCTGTAATGTCTGTGAAGATACTCTGTTAACTGAGCTGAATCATCTGTAACAGACTCACAGTCTCATTCTACTCTTTATACAAATGTTTTATCTTTTTCTTCATTTTACAGAGTCAGTGCATCTCTGCCTGCAGCTGTAATAACTTCAACTCTGTGATTTCACTATCACTTACTTTATTATTCTTCTCTTCATTCTTCAGAGTTATAAATATTATCTATTTCTTTTTAACTGAACTGAATAGCTGAGCTGTCTAATCTGACTTCATACTGATAGTCTACTTCTTCTTCTTTCTCTTCTTCTTCTCATTCTTCTCTATATTGACAGAGACAGAGAACTGCTGATTCTCTGTTATTTTTATATCAGTATATATGTTTTATATATACATTTTGCTAATGAATTTATATACTATAGAGATAATTCATTATTTATTAGATTATAAGCTGCAGTGTTTACTCAGTAAATTGTAGTGATAATTTACACAGACTTTCTTTAACATGCTAGAGATTATAATATACTTAATAAATAGACTGTGATTCTTCTCACATGAGCTGTATAACAGAGTGACTTTAATATTATAACTGTGAGTAAGTACTGATTCTACATTTATTATTCTTTTTAGCTGAGACTTGAATTTCTTCTTATACAGTACTATATCTCTCTTAAGCTTCATCTCATACAGCTGTATAATGATTTCACTGTCTTTCTTGACTATTTATTCTATCAGTAGCTGTAGTCTATGTTCAGATGTTCATGCATTGACAGGCTGCTGATGTGACTGCTGAGAGACAGATGCAGACAGATTAATAAGCTACTGAGCTTTCAGAGCTTTCTGAGCTTACTGAGCTTACTCTGCATTATTATTAGCTATAATTTCATAATTTCTGAGCTGTTTCTCTTTCAGTTCTCTACTTATATTCAGTAATTTTAGCTGCTTCAATTGTATTCTAGATGATTTGATAATTAATTAAAGTAAATTATGACATGTTTCAATTGCTGACTATATATATTATAGTTCTAAGATCTTTATATGAGCTGTCTGATATTTAATTACATCTCACTTAAAGCTTCTACATTAACTCTACAACACTGCTACAGTGTTATTCATCTTTTTTCTATGTAGTTGTTCTCTATTAACAGTTGTAAATTACATGGAATTCATCTATACAAGTCACGTGCAGCTGTTCATATTCATGGATATCTCATTACATTCAATCTGAGGGATTAAATGGCATGTTTTTCAAGCTGAATAAGCGAGCGCAAGCGAGCGATTGAGGCTTGTGATAATTAAAGAAATGTAGGGCAATATTCTGCTTTTCTCACCTCTTCATCCGTTTGACAAATGAGTACCTGAGGCTTTCCTGCAGTCTCCGGTCGACCCTCCATCCTTTCTGAAATATCCGTCACTGCAATATCCATCCGCCAATCCCTTTCCGTTTGCTTCGTGGTCAATCACAAAGCCCAAACATCTACACTTCTCTACTACTTTTTTCCTCAAAAGCGTGCTCTTCTCACCAATCCCGCCTGCAAAGACAAGGGCGTCGACATGACCATCGAGCTTCACAACGTAGTTGCCGATGAAGCCGACGATGCGGTCGACGAAGATGTCGAAGGCAAGTCGGTGCTGGTCTGTCGCGGGAGTTTCAGTGGCTATCTGAGAGAAGTCGGTGGTCCCTGCGAGAGACTTCCATCCTGATTGTTTGTTAAGGATGCGTTTGGCCTGATCGGACGGAGGACAAGGTTAGATTCCTGCTTTTTGAAGAGAGAGGAAAGGGGCAAGACTCTGAGAGGGACTGGTTCCTATATGTCTGGACATACCGTGCTAATATGCATATCCTTCGTGATGAATGAGTAGCTAATCCCATGGAATCCGTACTTGCGTAGCCAGTTCTCTTTGGCCTTTTCGGGACTGATAGGATAAGTCTTGACGTAGTCCGGCATTGACTAGTGGAAGGTGGAGTCAAAATATGCCACTGTCTTCGCCTTGGGGATTTCATGGAGACAGGTATCTATTATCTCCAGTGAGGCTGTATTGTGCCTGTTTTGTTTTTCCCATAGTCAGCCTCGCTCTTTCGTTTGGTATGTATGAGGCCACTGAAGGTATGTTAAAATATATTTTTATAAATATATCTCCCTAACAGACATACAACGGCGCAAGCTCCTTTAAGGCCAGCAAATAATTATAGGCGCCCTCCGTTATCACTGCTTCCTTTTCAAAATCACCTCCATGCACGACTCGATGGCATAGATATGCAAAATCATCCTTACTAGCGACCTCCTGCAGATCTGGATCGTTCAAGAATCGGTGCAAAAGGTACTTAAATGCTTCTTGCGGGCTTGAGATTCGCTCTTGGATCTCATCTTTCTTCTCCTTGTTAGGCCCTTGCGAGTACTTGAAAGTGCCTGTTGGTGCAGTAAGACCGGCGACTTGTGCGCTTGCAAGTTTCACCGGTGGGTTTGATGGATGAGGACCCGGCATTCATGGAGAGGATTGCTTGGGCCATGGTTTGATATATGTCAGAAGGATGGATCTATAAAAATGTTCAAGCTGAACTCAGGCAAAATCACCATTTATACTACCTCATTTCAATTTACGCTATATTGCAGACTTCTGTTTGCCACGTTTTATTCTATTGTTTTCATTGTCCCTTCCCATCCCATCCAGCCGCTTGGTTAGAACTATGACATACACGAACCGGTTTTGTGGTAGAGTTCACTCTGATATCAGCCAACGACGTAGTTAGAGCCTCCCACTTCCAGCTTTTTGATAACGGCTGCAGCTGGACTCTACTAGAAGCGAGGATAAATAAAAAAGTTCTGTATTCAATCATATAGGCGATTGTTCATTAGATCTCATGTGTCATATGTCGAGGAAGAGTCATATGGAAACTATCGTTGGTCTGATATAGTAGAGGTAGTCTTCTACAAGACCATTTTAGGTTGAACACAATAGAAAATATGCCTGGGGAGATCATCAAAAAAGCTAATCCAAAGGCATTACCGTCTCATCTACCTGGGGCTATAGATCAACTGGCGGTGTAGCTGCCAAGGACATCGCTGAACGAAAATGTCTTGAAATCTCTACAAAAGTTCCAGCGTGCCGCGAACTATATTGCTGCCGGTGAGCTGCTTATTCACTTCTTTACCATGAACTTCTCTAATTACGTGCTGATATCCCGAAACGGCAACTAGCTATGATATTCCTGCAGGACAACGCATATCTGAAACGGGAGCTGAAATTTGATGATATTAAGCCGAGATTATTAGGTGTGTTAAGATTTACGTTTGTTTCAAGCAACTGTACCCTGGCTGACATATATCTGAACAGGTCATTGGGGAACCTGCCCAGGACTGACCTTCGTCTATTCCCACCTGAATTACTTGATATGCAAACATGACCTTGACATGATATACGTCGTGGGGCCAGGCCACGGTGCACCGGCAATCCTAACAGCGCTCTGGATGGAAGGTTCTTTGGAGAGATTTTATCCAGACTATAGCCGAGACACAAAGGGCCTTACGAAGCTGATCACGACGTTCAGTACCACAGGCGGATTTTCAAGGTTGAAATATCTCTCTCTCTGAAAACCCCCTTGATGGCTGATTTATCTGTGACGATGTTGACATTTCCGACAGTCATATCAATGCCGAAACTCCAGGAGCAATCCACGAAGGCGGCGAATTGGGATACGCTCTATCCGTTTCGTTTGGGGCGGTCATGGACAAGCCGGATTTGATTGTCGCATGTATCATCGGCGACGGCGAAGCAGAATCTGGGCCGACAGCAACGTCAGTGAAATAGTATGAAATAGTTTTTGATATTAGATGAAAGGAAGAAGCTAACTTTACTCTTAAGGGTCCTGGCACGGATTCGAATATATTGACCCCGCAGAATCAGGAGCAGTATTGCCTATTCTTCATCTCAATGGATTTAAAATTAGTGCACGAACTATATTCGGATGCATGGATGATCGCGAGCTTATTGCTTTGTTTGTCGGATATGGCTATCAACCACGAATTATCGACGATATGAAACATATTGATGCCGATTTTAATGCAGCTTTGGAATGGGCATTGGCTGAAATCCGCGAAATACAGAAGGCTGCTCGTTCGGGAAATCCGATCATGAAACCTCGTTGGCCTGTTTTGATTCTGCGAACTCCGAAGGTTAGTCACCCGGATCAGAGAAATATCTTATGTCTTGTTTTAAAATGTTAACGTGTATCCTTCAGGGATGGACCGGTCCAAAACAAATCCATGGTCAAATTGTTGAAGGTTCTTTCAATGCCCACCAAGTCCCTCTTCCCGCCGCCAAGAAGGACCAGGAAGAATTAAAGACACTGAACGAATGGCTCTCATCGTATAAGCCGCAGGAACTATTTACAGAAGGTGGTGGTTTGACTGATGATATCAATGCAATCATCCCTCGAAATGACCTGAAAAAGCTGGGGCAGCGAAGTGAGGTTTATGAATCGTACAAGGCACCCAAACTGCCCAATTGGAAGAAATTTGGAATCGAGAAGGGCAAGCAGGAAAGTTCTATGAAAGCCATCGCTGAGTTTATTGATCAAGTTTTCGTCGATAATCCTCACTCTGTCAGGTTGTTTTCACCAGACGAGCTGGAGAGTAATAAACTTGGTGGTACGCTGGCACACACGGGAAGGAACTGCCAGTGGGACCAAGATCGCCAACGCCCAGGGTTGGTCGTGTAATTGAAGTATTGAGCGAGCATATGTGCCAAGGGGTTTTGCAGGGTACACATTGACGGTCGAGTGGGTATATTTCCTTCGTATGAGAGTTTCCTTGGCATCATTCATACAATGATGGTTCAATTTTGCAAGTTCACTAATAAGATGGTAAGCCATAATTTTGTCCTTATTACAAGTCCAGAGACATGTCATGTGGACATGCGCCTGACTATGTGTACAGGGCCTAGAGACCTCATGGCGCCGAGACATTGCTAGTAACAACTACATCGAGACAAGCACCTGGACTCGGCAAGAGCACAATGGATTTTCGCATCAAAACCCATCGTTCATTTCGGCAGTGTTGAATCTAAAACCAAACGCGGACCGCGTTTACCTACCACTGGACGCAAACACATCCCTTTCTACGCTAAACCATCGCTTGAAGTCCAAGAACTATATCAATCTCATGGTTGGGTCCAAGCAGCCCACGCCTGTATTTTTGAGCCCGGATAAAGCAGAAAGGCACTGTCGCGGTGGTGGTTCGGTTTGGAAATTCGCGTCTACCGACGAAGGGAGGGATCCAGATGTGGTTCTCATTGGTATCGGTACTGAACTCACATTCGAAGTCATCCGGGCAGCCGCTCTACTTAGAGAACGGGTTCCAGAGCTGCGTGTGCGCGTAGTTAATGTAATGGATTTAATGATCCTTAGCAGGGAGACGAGCCACCCGCATGCCCTGTCAGACGAAGCATTCAGCGCTCTCTTCACACGCGAGCGTCCGATCCACTTCAATTATCATGGATACGAGACCGAAATGAAGGGACTTCTCTTTGGAAGACCAAATATGGAACGGGTTACAATTGCGTCATATATGGAAGAGGGAAGTACCACGACACCATTTGATATGATGTTGGCCAACCGAGTTTCTCGATTCCATGTTGCTCAGGCTGCAGTTCGTGGCGGTGCCATTAGGGTCGAGGATGTTACGATAAGGAGACAAGAGTTGCTTTCTGAGTTTGACCACGATGTGAATGAGGCGAGGAAGTATATCCTGCAGCACCACAAGGGTAAGTTTATCCCTCGCCATCTTTGAATAAACGGTCCATGTATTAGAGCAGCCCAAGCTAATAAGATGGTAGATCCTGACGACATGTATGACATGCCAAAATTTTCTAATTAGGATATAGGGCCAGAGAAGAATCACATATATACATGTGAAGTATACACGCGGGCAGTGTTAGGCGCATGCAAACTACCTGCTGTGGATGGCCGTCCTCGGTGATATTCATTGAAGTTCAAGGCGGAATCTTCGTTGCGGATATGGATTTTCTCGTGATAGATAGTTTCGTGAATAGGTTGAATAATGCCATATCCATCTTGTAATAGTATATCACTTATTAATTATCCAAAATCATGAAATGCGATCAATGGGTGTGGTTGTCACATTCCCAAGGAGTTGACGTTGAGATTCCAGGGCGAGCAGAGTCACGGGATGACACTAGGCCGTAAATAGCAAATCTCTAACTGCATATGAAAAAGCGCAGTCCGCTAAGCGAGCTGCCGAGCCTCCGATCCCACACCCACGAAAATTACAGCGACGAACGACAGAAACGGCAGCGCAAAAGTCCTATCTCGACCGTTCAACCCTCCGACGACCGCCAACTTCCCAACGACTTTCCTTCTCCCTACCGACTCAAGGAAAGACAGCAGCAGCAACAGCTCTCCCCATCCCCTCCGTTGTCTGCAATCATGGCTGCTCTCAACAAGATCGCGGCCAACAGCCCTTCGCGGCAAAACCCTTCCGAGCTTGAGACCTCCCTCGCAGGTGCTCTCTCGGACCTGGAAACCAACACTCCCGATCTGAAGGCCGCCCTCAGACCCTTGCAGTTTGTCTCTGCTCGTGAGGTAAGGAATTGAATGCGAGTTTTTTTCCTGTTGATTCCTCAGGAGCGATATGGTTGGGGCATTCGAATGGTGGGGAGGGTATATATATAGGGCCATCTTCGCAAAGGGATTGTGAGAGGAAGGGAAGAAGGATTATTTGGACAAACGTGGAAAATCGAATATTTTTTGCGTGAGAGAGAAAGAACAGCAATTGGGCGTGGAGAGCAATTTCGACATGGATATGGACTGAAGAAAGAACGTGAATCTTGAATATCATATACTGATATGTGTGCTCGAATAATATAGATCGAAGTCGGCCACGGAAAGAAGGCTATTGTCATCTTTGTCCCAGTCCCCCTCCTCCAGGGCTTCCACAAGGTCCAGCAACGGTATGACAACATCCAATCTCTTCGTCGCTAAGACAATTCGCAAAGTCATATCCAACCAGTCCACAAAACTCAAGCTCAACCCACTAACCCGACTTCCTAATATAGCCTTACCCGTGAACTCGAGAAGAAGTTCTCTGACCGCCATGTCCTGATCCTCGCTTCCCGCCGCATTCTCCCGCGCCCCAAGCGCTCCGCCCGCTCTCGCACCTCCCAGACCCAGAAGCGCCCCCGCTCCCGCACTCTCACCGCTGTCCACGAGGCTATCCTTACCGACATCGTCTACCCCGTCGAGATCGTTGGCAAGCGTCTGCGAACAAAGGAGGACGGCACCAAGGTGCTCAAGGTTATCCTGCACGAGAAGGAGCGTGGCGGTGTCGACCACCGCCTCGATGCATATGGCGAGGTCTACCGGAGATTGACGGGACGTGGTGTCAGATTCGAGTTCCCGCAAAGCAGTGCTACGGAGTTTTAGAGGTCTGAGCGGAAAGAAAATAAAAATGTTAAAGTTAAATTTTCTTCTCTTTTTTCTCGCGCTTGGTTCTTTAAATAGGATGTAGGTGCGGGAAACAGGTCTGGGGAGCAGGGTCGGTGTGGAACGCTGGGGTCTTATTTGTTGCTTTTTCTTTTCCTTTTTTCTCCGGTCATGGGGGAAGGAAAGGGGCAATGAAATAAAATAATAAGTTCGGAAAACTTTGTCGTTTTTGAATGGGAAATAAAGCGATGGGTTTCCGCAATCTTAGCAGTTTTATGTTACGCTTTTTTTTTTTTCTTTTGTTCCTTTTATATATCATGTTTTTTATCCGCCCTCTCACCTACGATATCTCTCTCCTGCGTGTTGTTTACATAAACGAGCTTCCTTAACTGTACGGAAAATACATTCACGAGTCTTGAGGAATTTGAGGATGATACCTGAACGAAAAGAGGTGTTGCTGTCCTTGGCACCGTTCTTCCGTACCTTTGGCCACAATTTGCGACGTTGGACCTGCACAAAAATGAAAGGAATGCGACTAGCGGGGCGCACAGGGTACAAACGGATGCAAATGCAAAATTAAAGATGGTTGGGGATTGTAATACCGCCAATCTGGTATCGCATACAAGAAGTGGAAGGTGGTATAATATGCGAGGCACGGGAGTAAACAGAAAGTTAGGTATCTTGTCGAACAAGTCCGGAAGAAAAAGTAACGAAAATTCAAGAACGGGAAAAGGACAGTGGTGTGTCTGGAACCAAGCGTAGCTAGTGGCGATGCCCGTGTCCAGCCCGTTTAATCCTCCCAATCCCTAGCACCATCCAATAAGCCAGTTCCCTCTTCACCATCTCCGCCTCCTGCTGCCTCCTTGTATCAGGTCTCATACCCAGGTCCTCTGCACCACCTTCAGCCTCCCACTCCACCCGCACAAACACCGGAATCTCAATAACATCTTCATCTTCTTCCATTCCAGTCACATCACTCTCCTCGTCCTCATCCTCCTCGCCAGGAGCTAAATCAGGAAGCGACCCCGGCACAACCTCCATGGCCACGGTCGTCCAGTTCCTTCCCTTATCCCATATCTTTCCTGCTTCGGCGACTTTATCCAGTCCTGATCTGGAAGAGCGCGGGTCTTGCGCTGCCGATGATGCCAGAGCTTCGTCCCAGACATCGCTGTTGGCACCCACTTCAAATTGCGGGCAAAGCATCGTAACCTTTGACTCGACACGGCCGGGGGTTACTGATGGGGTAGCTAGGGTGATACGGATAGGGTCGAACATGTGGTTTTTTAGGGTGATGAGGAATTGCACGGGTCTACCGGGTTCGAGGGCGTCGAGGTTTACCGGGGGGGAGCTCGCGGGAAATGGAGGTAAAGGACGCATGATCGTGAGTGGAATGTAGCTGAGGGCTATTAGACGGATTCGGAAGCGGGTTGACTGTGGTTTGAATTCGGGTTTGACGAGGATGTGTTTGCACGCTTTGCAGCGTTTTGATCTCTTGGTGCGAAGGAGGACGGGGAGAGGACGTAACTCATCGACAAATCTTGTAGAAGGGGGTTGGGAGACCTTTTGCTCCACAGACGCAAGGCCGTCCCAACCACAGTCCGGGGAAGCCATTTTTTGGATGATTGCTTGTTCAGTGTTAGGATCAGGTATGTGGAGGCCTTCTGCGGGTGTGAGGGCCTCGCGCATCACTGGTGGTTTTGACTTAGGCTTTTTGCTACCAGCGCCATGAAGATTGCCAATTCCTGCAGTGTAGAGCGACATGATACGGTTTAACGCACTTGGAGAAGAATAAAAACCTCCTAGTTCGGGTCCAACCAGGGGATCTGTCGGAGATGTTGATGTTTCCGTTAACTGGTTTCTGTAAAATGACTTCAGAGCAGAGAAACGGGACTCTGGGTCAATCGTTGCTGGCTTTTCTTCTGAAAAAGCAGTCCCAGCCAATCTTTCATCTTGAGAATCAAGGCCTGTTCCGTCGTCCGGAGAGGTGAGGTTTGCCAGGGGGGATTTAATTTCAGGGGAGCTGCGGTTTTGGCCATTACTTAATGAGGTAAGCTGAGCACGAATGTTGGTTGGCTTATCGAATTTGATTCCAATATCAAGAGTTGTCCACATGCAGTATCCGCATGACAGTATCCAAGGTCCGTTCTGGGCTCCATTGTCGGCGCTCCCAAGAGTTGTGACCGATAGGGGTGAGGTACATATTGGACAGTTAAAGCAATTGCGCGCGCACCTGTATATCTCCTTAGTTTGAAGTTCATTATAGGTTCTTTTCTTAGGTTGAAGTAATTCGCACCTGTTCCCTTCGCTCCTAACCATACTGCTTGGTGTTTCAAACAAGCAATTTGGGCAGTACCAACATACTATCTCTTCCGTTATGCATCTTGGGCATTTTATTTGATGGCAATCCTCGCAGTACAATAGATGTTCAGGGGGGTAAAGAGAGTAATTCGCTCGAGATGATCTCGGATCAAAGGTTCGGTCTTCGTCATCGGTATCGGGGTCTAGTCGTTGACCGCTAAGTGTGATATTTGAAAGGTCCCTTGAGAGCCTGTTTGTAGGGAGCGCAGGAGTGCTCGGCGTCTCTGCGCAGGGACACGATATGAACGTGTAGGGAAAAGGACGAGCCATTATCTGGCAGCTCAAAATACAGGGCTTTTGACAAGAGCTAGCAAAATCACTCTCATACTTTGAGGAACCGCAATTGTGTTTGTTGACCTGTCGATCAGAAGTCGAGGACGTATTTAGAATATAGTGCGAGTCTCTTCCTGACGTAAAATGCGTGTGTTTGATTCCAAATCGAAATATTACGTGCGCATATCCCAATAGAACCTATCCATTTATCGAATGGCTACGTCCTTAGCTAAATGTCAACGTCGAGGGGGAAGCGGAGGGTTGGCGATGATTTAGCCGTGTGCGCAAAAGCCAAATGAATATAACAGCTGTAAATGCAGCGAGTGTCGATATCCAGAAATCTGCGCAAAGTGAGAATCAGTATATAGTCCCTCACCATGAGACTGTAGGGCTGTTGTGGTGGTATTGTTTACCCTCGTAGTTCTGTTATTTATTTATTCGTGGGCTGGCATGCGGTGGTGATTGTGGTTGAGAGTTTCTGCCATTGTGAACAGGAGCTGCAAAATTTCCCCTTCCACCGGCGACGTCACCAAGTAAATAAGGTCGCGGACAACGAAACCAATTTGCTTTCCTTTCTCTTCATTATTTACATCAATTACATATAATAATACTTTATACCTATTTTCTCTCCTACCCAACTCTATTGGCGCCCTTTTTCCCTTTCCGTCTCTAGAGGCCAATGTCTCTCCGCACCAGGCTGCCAAAGCCTCTCCTTTTTCGGCAAGCATTAAGCGCAGCTAGAAGAGGGTATGCAGTACAGGCTCCCGGAGCACCAACCCTGGAAGTTTTCAATCGTAGGACGAAACTTCTGCAAAAGGAGCGGGTGGGCAAAAATGTCGAGCTCAGCCGTAAGGTTGACTATCTCAAAGACGAGGTCGCATTTCGCCTGAGTGAGCGGCTACTTGTAAGGAGAACCGTTTTATTATATTAACTAATTGCAAGCTTTATACCGTCAATTGTTGTATACAAAGGAAAAGCTTCAATGGCTAATCTTGATTTCACTTGGCTAGGACATCAACCGCCATTTCCCTAATGTCCTCGACCTGGGCGCAAACAGTTGCAATATCGCGAAAGCACTCACGCAGCCAGTGCCTCCTCCCCAGCAGGAACAAATAGAAGCAGGAGATCAATCGCAGGAGCAAGAGCCGTCTACAAAAACGCCGTCATCATCACCGCATCCCACCACTATCGGAAGTCGAATTTCAACGCTAACATGCATCGACGAATCCTCTTCCCTCCTCTACCGCGATGAAGACCTCCCATTCAATTCCCAGCTGAAAATTACACGTCAGGTGGTCCCCACTCTCGAATCTCTCCCCTTCGAACCCAACACTTTCGACGCGGTCCTCTCCTCTCTCTCGATCCATTGGATAAATGACCTCCCCTCTCTCCTCACCCAAGTAAACCATATCTTAAAGCCAGACAGCCCATTCATCGCCGCAATGTTTGGCGGTGATACGCTCTTCGAGCTACGCACATCTTTACAACTAGCGGACCTTGAACGGCGCGGAGGAGTTAGTCCGCATATCTCCCCCTTAGCTGACGTCCGGGATATTGGGGGATTGCTGGGCAAAGCTGGCTTTAAGCTGCTCACGGTTGACGTGGAGGATATTGTCGTAGAGTATCCGGACACGTTTGCTTTGATGACTGATTTACAGGCAATGGGCGAGAATAACGCGATTCTGCGACGTGAGGCTGGGCCGATATCAAGGGATGTTTTGCTAGCTTGTGATGCTATATATAGGGAGCTACATGGGGAAGAGGGAAGGGAAGGGATCCCTGCTACGTTCAGGTTGATATATATGATTGGATGGAAAGAAGGGGCAGGGCAGAAGCAGCCTCTGGCTCGTGGAAGCGGAGAAGTGAATCTGAAGGATATACTTGGAGGAGGCGACTTTGGGCAAGGGTGAAATTAAGCACCCGTGGCATTTCCTTGAATAGCTCACTGGTAATGGGAAATTCTGCGAGTAAAAGAGGATGCTCCTCATTGAGATCTATGTTTGAACTAATAACTGCTCAAAGAGAACTTTTACCTACCTAGCGCTCCTGTAAATAGCAAAATTACATCCATGACCCCCCCCCCCCCCTCTCCCTTAGAATAGCCTTTTCCTCCCGTTATTTCTTTCAAACCGTCCTTCGATCTGTCATGACCCGAACAATTGATCCAACCCCAACAATATCAACCAATTTCTCATGCCAGCTCAAGAATACGCTCATTTGTTGTCCGCCGCCTCCCTCCCCAAGATTCCGGCCCTGTATTTGTGAAAATCCAGTACTCTGTGGCGACAGCGATGATTTCTTCGACGGCGAGAGGCTCCCAGATGAAAGCGAAGCCATCCCTTTATATCTACCACCAAGCATTAAATGTCAGTATTGTACATGTACTTACCAAAGCACAACCCAAACTCAAACTTAGGTAGAAATAGAACTAGAAACACCACTCACAAGTACTTCATCAAACAATCCCCTCTCTCCGCCCCGCCATCCCCAGCACACACGCCCTCAAGCACCCTCGTCATCTCTCCCTGTCTTATGCCCCCCAACACCTCTACAACGGTAGCTAAATGGACTTCCTTCGCCCTATCATCGCCGCCCAACGGCGCTGTGTCAAGTACATGGCGCAATGCCCCCTCCGAGTCGCCGGACCGGAGCAGTTGGCGGACCTGCGAGCCGATGCTAGCGGCCGTGCTGGAGGTTGTGGGTGCAGGAATGTTGCCTGGTAAAAGGGTCTCTAGGGGGAAGTTTACGGAGGAGTCTGGGTCGATGCTGTCGACATCGACGGTGCGATAGTTTATGAGGGACATTGTGCGGTTGGTGGGGGCAGTGGTGGTTTCGTGGAGGGAAGGTTAGGCTGGGGCCTTGATGCGCGGGGCCGTGTTGGGTGGTTTCCACCCCGCCGGTGAGCAGTTGATCTGTTTGGTATTATCGAGAGGAGAGGTTGGTGCTATTCACCAAAAACGGGAAGGGTATTTCATTTGTTCAGGGAATAAGGCTAATTAATAGATGGAGTTGGGTGTTGCCCTTGGAGGGAAGGTGGTTTATGTCAGCGGCGGGCGGATGCATAATGCCAAGCCCCTGCCAAGCCAGAGAAACCCGCGGGGTTTGTACGGAGTACTTCCTAATTACTATCACTACTAACTACTAAGAGTTAAATTACTTTGAGACTAGGAATGTTGATTAGAAGTCTCAAAAGTTTCAAACTTCTTGCGCGGCACTGTATGGTATTGAAACACTTATCGGTGAGATTGAAATGAAAATCATCATGTCATACTCCAATCGGTGTACGTTCCATGAACTTATTAATGATAATATTTTTTATATTTGTTTCTCTAAATTATCCCAAAGCCTTTCAAACCAGAACTTGGGGAAAAACACTACCCGGAACGAATGCCCATGCGAATTGAGCAAAAGGAACGCCAGAATAGGTAAGGGATCCCAAAAGCGCCGCCGCTATGCAATGAGAGATATCTATAACACAGAAAATAAAAGACAATATCCAGCCGAATAATCATACAGGCCACGCTAAATAATACAAATAATCACCCAGTATTGCAACGTAAAACGAACGAAAGGAGGGGGACTCAATGAGGGCTTAGCTACCGGACAACGTGATCGCAGGAACAGGGACATTCGATGCGGCTGTGGGAGGGGCCTCCTTGGCTTCCGAATCATCAGCAGCCTCTTCGTCTTGCTTCCTTTCAGCCGCCGGAGGGCTCTGTCCAGAGATTTTCGACGACATCCGTGAGAAGAAACGGCCGATGGCACGGAATCCCTTACCCACAGGAGAAAATACGATGCTGAGGCCCTTGCTAATAGGTCTCCAGATGGTAGATATGGTGTTCACGACAGCATCGAACATGACCTTGAACCACGGGTCGGGGAAGCAGCGAATAAGGACGGCAAATGGTATGCACATGATTGCGCAGAGGATACAAATGAGCCACTGGATGCCATCGATGGGTCGCACGGAAAGTGCAGAACCGCCGACGAAGATGATCATGATTTGCCCACCGAACATGAGGCAATTAATGCCGATGAAGTAGTAGTTTTTAAGGATGCCCTCGAAGATATTGAACTTGTTATCGAGGCGGCGGTTGTTGAATTCATTGAAAATCTGCATCCAGACAAAGGTGTTGAAGACAACTGTGTTCAGTTTCTCCTTAACGACTTGGTCGCTCAGGTCGTAGTTAAAGATGCGGGCACCGCCGAAGTAGAGAGTGTAAGTCACGGCGAGCTGGTAGATGGTTTGTCCGATGATCATTTTCCACATTGTTGTTGTGAAGAGGGGGGCGGATTTTGGGGTGGGTTTTCGTTCTAGGATTTTCTCTGTGGGAGCATCAGTAGCGAGTGCCAATGCAGCGAAGGTGTCCATGATGAGATTAACCCATAGCAGTTGTACCGGTTTCAATACACTCTCGTTATTGCTATTTGAGACGGCGGACACGAATGTCAGGAAAACGGCAGTAATGTTGACGGTAATTTGGAACTGAAGGAACTTTGCAACGGCGTCGTTTACCGCTCGTCCCCAGGCGATGGCAGTGACAATGGATTTAAAGTTGTCGTCCAACAGAATAATCGAACTGGCTTCTTTGGCAACCTCCGTACCAGCAATGCCCATGGAAAATCCCACATCAGCGGTCTTAAGAGCCGGTCCGTCGTTAGTTCCATCGCCAGTAACAGCGACAGTCTCCCCGAGATGCTTCAGTCGAGCAACCAGGATTCGCTTGTCTTCTGGAGAAGAACGAGCTAGGACTTGCAGATTTGGAAGGATTCTATCCATCTCCTCATCCGAGAGTTGCCGAAATTTGGGTCCTTCCATGGCGATACCTTCGGGAGTTTTGATGCCGCATTCCGTGGCGATAGCAATGGCCGTCGTAATATTGTCACCTGCAAATTAGAATTCTGGGTATTAACTTCTGGTAACCGAACCATAAGCAAGCTTTGGGTAGATAAAGGGGAATGTACAAACCTGTAACCATTTTCACGGAAACTCCGGCCATATTGCATTTCTGAATAGCAGCCGGAACCTCAGGTCTCAGAGGGTCTTGAATACCAACAACACCAACCCAGTTCATGTCATGAAAGATATCATTGAAGTCAGCCATGGAACGCTCATCCTCCATAGTCTTCGCACCTGCTGGTGGCCACGATTCGAAATCTTTGTACACCATGCCGATGTTACGAAGAGAACGCTTGGAGTACATGTCGATGGTGTCAAGAACCATATTCCGCGAGCTCTCCGAGAGGGTTTCCAGAGAGTAATGACTATCCGAAGTGATCGAGATTACCTTGCTGGATTGTCCAAGTAGTATTTCTGCAGCGCCCTTGACGTGAAGGCGATATTCTCCGGATGGCTGGCGGACGACGACACCCATACACTTGCGCGCAGAGTCGAAAGGAATGAGCTGAACAACTTCGGCATTGGAACGCTCCTCAGCCACATTCACCAGCCCAAGGTAGTTCTGCGCAAGGTTTAGCATGGCAACCTCTGTTTTGCTTCCGATAAAGACTCGTTGCCCGTTTTCTTCGCCTTCGAAA